GACAACGTCGTATATATTCACTCCAGAGACAACGTCGTATATATATTTACTCCAGAGACAACGTCGTATATATATTCACTCCAGAGACAACGTTGCATATATTCACTCCAGAGACAACGTTGTATATATTCACTCCAGAGACAACGTTGTATATATTAACTCCAGAGACAACGTCGTATATATTCACTCCAGAGACAACGTCGTATATATTCACTCCAGAGACAACGTTGTATATATTAACTCCAGAGACAACATTGTATATATTCACTTTGGAGCAAACGTATATATTCGCCCTAGAGTGAACATTGCATATATTCACTCAGGAGCCAACGTTATATACGTTTGCTCCAGAGCCGACGTTGTATATATACACTCGCCATGGAGCCAGCGTCATAGATATTACGCCTGGAGCCAACTTCGTACATATTCGCTCCAGAGTCAACGTGAAAGCTGAGACATTTCTCCATTCTCCTTTTTGTGAATGCACTCTGGTTCAAGTGAAAGGGCTGAAAGATAATGTACAAAATTACCATTCAAGGTGAATGAATTGCACTAGAGCAACCTGCACATGACATTTACCCAGAACGAATTGCAGCGTAAAAATAAATGGCGATGTTCCTATGTCATATTTTTTAAATTATTATTATTATTATTATTAAAAATAAGCAGCCTACAGTTTGTTTATGGTCTAGTTTTTATAGCTGAAGTAATTGTTTATCAAATAAGATCTATTGTTCCAAGTAGTTTGTGGATCCATTTAGGGTTACTCCCAATGAACGAGTGCCATATCGACATGAAAACTTATTTGCGTAGCAGTTAAATGTAATATTTTCAACACAACTTTGCAAAAGCCACAGAATGAAGAGATGCCGTTTGAACTTACAGTTGCGTGTGTCGTTGTCCCAGTCCCAGGCCTCCAAAATCAGTGTGTACCTCCGCTGGAGAAAAAAAAGAAATAAAGTCGTGAATTTTTTAAAATATTAATCCAACTATTGTACAAGTGGATCTGAATAAGCAGTTCACACAGTTCTCATTAAAATAGGAGCAACAGATACTTCACAGAATCTCTCATGATCACTGAGAAACTTAACGAGCAGGAAATGTCTCCTATTACTGCAAAACTAACATTTGCACTACGTACACATATATACATATACATACATACACACAGTGTTTCCCTTACCATTATACAAGTGGGGTGCCCTGTTATCGAACCCACCTCTCCCCCCACCCCGGTCGACAACTGCTGGCATTGATATAGCGCAAGGTGCAATACAAACGTGCTAGCAAAAATGCTACTGACGTACCGCTCCCTACCACCTTGCCTCACACCTGTTAACAGTTACCAGCAGCAACGTAGCGCTAAACTAGTGGGCAGGAAACAGACGAGACAACCCCCCTGTTGTTGATAAAAATCGACAGTAGTAAAGCGTTAAGCTAGCAGGCGGAACAACACAAACTTGACCCCCACACCCAGTCGTCAATAAAAACCAGCAGCAATTTAGCGATGAGCTAGCAGGCGAGCAACATACGACAACCCCCCCACCCCCATTCTCGATAAAAACTGGCAGCAATGTAGCGCTAAACTAGTGGGCAGGAAACAGACGAGACAACCCCCCCGTTGTTGATAAAAATCGACAGTAACAAAGCGTTAAGCTAGCAGGCTGAACAACACACACTTGACCCCCACACCCAGTCGTCAATAAAAACCAGCAGCAATTTAGCGCTGAGCTAGCAGGCGAGCAACATATGACAACACCCCCAACCCCATTCTCGATAAAAACTGGCAGCAATGTAGCGCTAAGCTAGCAGGTGGAGCAACGTACACGTGACTCCCCTCTCCTCTCACCCCGGTCGTCTATAAAAACCGGTAGCAACGTAGCATTGCGCTAGCGGGCGGGAAAAACACGTGACCCACACACCTAGTCATCGATAAAAACCAGCAGCAATTTAGCACTGAGCTAGCAGGCGGGCAACACACACGTGACTCCATCCCATCCCTGTCGGCAAAAATAATAAATACCTCAAGCGCCCCGCCAACAGAGCTGATCTAAGGGAAACACTGATATTACAAATAATGATGGCACGCGTGTCTTTTTGTGCAACAAAAACAGGAACACACGACAGAGAGCCTTTGTGTTCTTGTTCCCTGATTAACTGCCAAGTAAACATCACCAGTGACCATAATGTGCTCCTGTTGTGAAGAGGATCATTTCAGGCATCCAACTCTTACACAAGCATCAACAGGATGCACACACAAAGATGATGCAAAATAAAAAAATAAAAATCCATTTCTTTGCTACTACAGAGTCTCGTACACGACATGGCCCCCTTACCTAGAGGTAAGCTCGAGTTACACCACCAATGAAACCCAATGAGACAGAAATAAGAGAGCAAGCTGCAGTAAGTACAACTGTGAGAAGCCAAAAGAAGCAACCGGAGACGAGAGGAGAGCACTGCATCAAGCTGCCAGGCATGTACCAACTGTCTTCTGGCTCGGCGCGAGGTGCACTGCTATGAACGCACACGTACATTTCAAGCTTTAGAGTGAAACCCAACAGCTTTTTGAAAGTGTAACTCCATCAAAATCCATCTTTGGAAGTGGCGACAACCTGCGTTCATCAAGCCGTAATCTGCTCAAAGTAACGGACAGGTAAAAAAACAAAACAAAACAAAAAAAAACACGGCTGCTCCAAGAAAACGAGCGTGAAACCTCAGCCGGAATATTCATCTTTGATAAATGAGCCGGAGTCGAGCAAAAGCTCCCATAATTACCCCAACAGTGAAAGAAGTTCGGCTGGCGTTTGTGCTTTCAGGAACAGCTGAAGCAGCAGCTGACGCAAACGTACGTTTAAAAGACTTTTTGACAAACCGCATGCAGAAACTCGAGGTGTTGTCAAGATGTAGTTTTCTTCAGATTATAAGCGTCTTCATATAAAACATTTCCAACAGTTAAAGCCACTTCTTCAACACGCAGAATATAAAAATGAGCGGCTAGCCAATCGGGATGACTGATCTGGTGTTAAACACAGAAGAGGCCAGTTGGGGTAGGTTTTCATCAACTGCATTTCAATTCAGCTTTTTTTCTGGCGCAAATGAATTTTCCCAAATGCAAACTAACTAAATGCATTTTCACTCGCTCTCATGCAAGAACGCTGATAACGAGGTCACTTTGCCAACAGTAACCGTACAAGATGAACGGGCTTAGCCCTTGGTTGTCAGTGAGGTAAATCACCGGTAAGTGGATTATTTTATACAGACTTATACTTTACACCTGATGAGTAGAGTGATTAATGTTGTTGACCTTCTGTGAAAATTACAAATACATAGGGAACCAGTAAAACCAGGACTTTATGTTTCAAGACCGTTTTCAAACAAGTGTAAAACTTAGTTTTTTTTTTAGTTTTCTTTCAGTGCATCTTTTAACTGAATATGTTTTAGTCCCTGCAACTCTGTAAACCAAAAAAATTATTACGCAAGTATTGATGTAACTTATGACAGAAAATACAGCAATAATAGCACCAAAACGATAGATGTGGTAGTGTTCAAGAAATGTGTCAAGAGTGTGAGAGGTTTTTTTTTTCTTCTGCTGGATTAATTTATTAATTTTCAGTTTGAACATTTTTTCCTGTAATATTTTTGACTTTTAATCCACCTTTTCCCCACCCAACAGACTTCTAACATGCAGAATTCTGTTTATTCTGCACAGTCACAACAGATACCGGTTCGAGGTAAATCTAAATGCACACACACAAAGATGTAAACACACACACAGATGGAAACTAGCTAAGCAAACCAGCATCACTGCTAGGCAACCAGCTGACCTAAATAGCTCTCATTACATCACTACCAGTGACAGTCGTAGTAGCCACAGTGTGACTGCTGTGACCTCGAGTGTAACGTCACTGATGGGATGTTCGATTTGGGGGGGGAGTGGTTAAAAATGATTTTTAAAAAACGTGAGGATTTGTGAGCGCAGTTGAGAGAAATTGGAGACGACGGCAGCAAAATGTGTTTGCAAGTCTGTGTTGTTGATCTGGGGGAACCAGCAAGCTGGTAGGCTGGTTGCTGCTGGGCTGTGGGATTAAGCAGGCTTGTCTGGCTGTGGGTGGTGGTGGGAGGAAGGGGAGGGGAGTGTTATTGTGGAAGACCATGAGTGACATGTGAATAGGAGCAAAGGTGTTGCGGTTAGCAGAAAGCCAAAGTTTAGGGAGCGTGGATGACCGTATCAACAGGTAAGACATGAAAAGCCGACTCGAGGGTGGTGGTGGTGGAGGGTTTAGACGGAAAGCAAAAACGGATGAGAACGGAGTTTGACCGTTTATGACGATGCTCGTGTTGCAGAATGCGTCGCCTGCACAGCCGACCGCAGACGTGCAACAGATGCAGCCTCAAAGATGGATTACGTGACATGAACGACACGAACGTGCATCATCCCACGACATGTAGCTCGGCTTCTGACCTTTCCACCCATCCCCCCCCCCACCATCACAAAAGGGATGGGTGGCTGCTCCCGTCAGTGCATGTGTGGGTGCATGCATATGCCAGTGCATAGATATCAAACCATGAGGTGCAATACATGCATTACTGAGCAGAGTCCAGGATAACGCCCATTTCCCCGAGAACATGCGAGAGCCAAACCTTGAGAGCTTGAGGGGCAGCATCAGTGGTCAGAGAAAACCCAGGTAGTTTTTACCATTTACAAAATAAATTCAGGCTTTTTCACATATTGCAATATAGTAAATAGTCGGAGTCAGTTTTGAGCAAAGCCAATGGCTAGTCTGGTTTCCCACAGACCATCCCAGTCTGTGATTAGCTGGATTAAGTGACAGCTGCCCAAATGGTTGGAACAAGATAGATGGATGGGCAGGGGGATAAAGGGGAGGAGTGGGGGTAGGGAAGGGGGAAAGGCTACTGAACAAAGACCCTTGTCCCAACACCGTAACTCACCCCCATTCCAATCAAAACCATTGTCCGCGAAGAGACGCAGTCAGCACAGGGACAATTAGAGTCAGCATGTGTGCCACTGAGTCCGAGCGGGACAGTTGCGGGACAGTCCGACCAGGGGTTTTCACACAAGTCCTCATGTTAAACCCAACTGTGCTACCGCTCGGAAAATGTCCAGATCTGATAAATCTGCCTCTTTTTGTCCATTCTACATAAAACACAGATTCATTTGACCGTGCGAGATGGTTAATCTGAGACTATGAAGCGTACAGTGTAGGTCAAATCTCCAAAACCCTACTCAAGCATTCCCCCCCCCAATAGATTAGAGGATTTACTTAGAGGAATCCTAGTTTTCAAGTCATAAACGGGGGGCACAGGAGGGACACAAAAAACAATTGTGTGTCACGTGGACCATCTTTTCTGGACATTATGACGTGAAAACCCAGGTGCCATGTTGGTATTAAAAGTATTGCAATGAATTCAGGTATTCAACCTATTTGGCAACAACGATCCGTGACTGTGAAGACAACTGCAGCCTTGGTAATTCCTGGGGAGTGCCACAGGTGTAGGTTCCCACGCCAGATGAAGGGGTGGACGGATGATTGGAAGGTAGTTGTTCAGTATAAAGGCAAAGGGGGGGGAACAGAGAGGTGGCAGTGGGAAGTGGAAGCTGGGGCAGGTTAGGGTCACTAAGCATGGGATCTGCACGCTTCTTTGTGAAAAGAGGGGTCAGCCCTCTGCATGTGGGGTGATGTGAGTGTTTGCATTTGAAGAATACTAAGAATGTGAGATCCAGGTCTGGTGTGTAATCCCATGCCTGATCCCAGTCTGCCAACAATTCAGCACCACTGGAGGGGGTGCGTCTGTGTTGCAGATTGAAGCTTTGATTGACTCGTAACGGCCTCTTGGGGGAAAAGCTGGGATCGAAAACGTTGATTTGGGAGTCTTTCATGCGGTTTCTTTTTGACTGCTGTCAGGCATAAAAGTCACA